ATTGTGACTCAACAGAAGAGCTTTCCTCATTCTTTCCACTGTTCTTCATTCCTTCCACTGATCCCTGAGCAAATCACTACAATCCAATTCCAACCCCTGCATGTTCCTTTCACATGGTATTAGAGTGAACCTTTCCACGGAATTCTGTTGAGTCACACTTTTATAAATCTATATTAAAAATAATTAAATTTAAAAATAATTACATTTTTATATATCTATGTTAAAATATATATTTTTTTTTAATTTAGATTTTCCTAATATTTTTGTTGGTGATTCTTTAAGCAACCTTAAGGCCCTCTTTTCTCATCTGTGATAAGCTGGCAAATTCAGACAGTATTTTAGATATCTAAATCCAAGTGAGATGAATTCCACTTTGTTTGATTCTGTTTCATACAAAGCAGCTGGTATCTAAGTACCCTCATTAAGTTTGGAAATCACAAATTTGTCTCATAAATCTCAATTAGAGTAAAATTCATCTGTAAGTAATGAACAGTGTTAAACTCTCTACTAGGTCAAAGGATTATCATTATTTGTTTCAGAGGAAGGAAGATATCTCTGCTCCATTTCAGTCCACTTCACACAACAGAAAAAAAAATAACAAACAACTGAACTATATTAATTTATTTATTTTGTTATGTTTGTTTGTATGTATGTTTTGTATGTATGTTTGTTTATTCAGAGGGTTAGTTTATTTTAACTTTAATCTTCTTCATTGGCTCAGTTTCCATAGTTGTTTGACAATTTCTGCTTGTCAGAATGACTGTTTCCAATTGGTAAAATAGCAATTTTTCCATTATGCCTTAGACTTCAATTAAGTTCATGTGATAAGCAGTTAATACTAAATAATTTAGCAATCAGACAACACCAACTAACTTGTAGTACAAAATGTGTACTGTAAATTAAATATGAATCTACAATTATTTTTCCAAATTTCTTAGGTAAATGAGAATATAGTCAAATGTTAACAATGCCAATTTTTTCACAGTTTTGAAAATCATAGAATGGCATGAATATATCTATATAGAAAGCATGGAAAAAACATAATATTCTGATATTATTATACATATTCTCAGATCAAGTAACAACAACAACAAAGAATGTGAGCCATCAGAATATTTTTAGATGGAGGAAAAGTTCTTCACAGACATAACTGTCTAAATCACTCATCTGGGCTATCTCTGAAGTGCTTGTTGGAAAAAAAACCTCTCTTTTGTAATCATGTATTTTATTCCAACAAAAGTATATAAAGATGACTCTATCTATAGCTTTACCACCACTTCATTCCCGAGTTGTGATTCCCAAGTATGATCTCAAGTCACTGCACCTACTTGTATTCATATCTGGACAACCTTTTGGAGTAATCTAAACATTTCCAGATCTAGGGATTACATATTTAAAATCTCCCTCCTTTTATTGATGAAAGTGTGTTGGCTTGGTTTCTATTACACTAGAAGGAATTTCAGGCCTATTCCAGCAGGGTGTGATACCCTCAAATATCAAATATATACATGTAGTACATCCTACTCATATAATGCTGTAAGAAATAATATACTGACTACATGAAACATAATTCTGTCATTTTTTCAGGCAACTTGAGGTGGGAGAAAGAAAAGTAGTAATAAGGAAGGACTTTTCCTCAGATCTTCATGGCATCACAGAAGTTTAAGAGATCTAGATAAAATGCCATACAGAATTATCCTAGACATTTCATTCTGAGGGGGATTGGTCTTAAGCAAAGTGAATTTAAAACCCTCTGCACCCCTTGGCCCATTTTTTGGGAACCAATCCCTTTAGCATTGTAGAACTAGCTGATAATGAGCAGAATGAATGACCTATGAAGATGTCAGTATCAATGCTGACACATAAGAAGATACATGATTAATTCTTAACTAGACAGCTGAGGTAAGCTTCTGAATATAGGAAAATCAGTAGTCAGGGTTGGGATTCATCTCATCTAGGACTAACTACCTAACAATTATCTCTATTTGAGCTAATTGTACAAGATTGCTTTGTAATGGATCAATCCTTTCTAGAGCATAATTCAAGTAATTTGTGTCGTAACTGCTTTATTTGGGATAGGATAAATCCTACCCAATGCTGATTCCTCTCCTCCGTTTAAGTTAACTAGCTTACACAGGTACAACCCCAAAACTGGTCTTTACATGTGGGATACGGAGTATTTTCCTTGTCATACCTGCTGTGTCAGGAAAGACCAATGGAGTGTGAAGTCCCAAAAGACTCACTCTCTGCTGAATCCCAGAATCAGAGAATCCTAGGGGTTGGAAGGGACCTCCAAAGATCATCCAGCCCAACCCCCTGCCAGAGCAGCATCACCTAGAGCACATCACACAGGTGAGCACATCAAATGTGTCCAGCTTTGAATGTCTCTGGAGGAGACTCCACAACCTCTCAGCCTGTTCCAGTGCTCTGTCATTCTCACAGTAAAGAAGTTTTTTTCTGATCTTTACAATAACATAGGCCTTTTTGTTATATACCTCACATTGTTTAGAAGAGAAACTTTTGAGATTTGTTTAATGAGTGGCTGTGAAATTGCTGTTCAGCAATTTCATCAGCAGTTTTAGTAACAAATGAAAAAATAATTAATTAAAATCAGGAATGCTGCTTATTTGCTTAATCTATTTCTGGCTACTGGAAGATTACCAGACCTTCTCTTTTTTTATGGTTGGGGTGGGGCTTTTTTTAAGCTCAATGACAAATACTATTGCCAGGCTAAGGAAGAGAGAAGAAATAATTTTTTTCTGTGATAGGTTCCTTTGGAAGAAAAAAACAAATGCACTGATGATGTCTGCAAGAAAGGGAAGAAATAATAAACAGATATAGTGGCACAGTCTTCAAGTAGTCCATTCAACAGTGGTACAAAGACACAAATTTGTAAGTGAAATAGAAGTATTTACTAATTTAGTGTTTCTTATCAGAAATATTAATAATACTTTATTGAAGTCTGCTGAGTAGCATATTGGTTAATAAAGCTAGTAAGAAAAAAAAAAATCATGGAAAAGACTGGGTTTTTTCATTATTTTTAGTGAGAAGCCACACAGTAAATCTGACTTTTTGGGGGGGGCGGGGAAAGTGACACAGTATCTTTCAGCTGAAGATATTTTTTTGTCAGCTTTCCTTCCCTTTCAAAATATAATGACTCATTTAAATAACTTTATGAAAAAGGACCTAACATCCTACCTGTAACCTACAGTTACAGAAGATGCTATTACAAGCCTCTATAGAGAGGCACTCAAGAACTAAATGCAATGTTAATGCTAATATAGCAGACTAAAAGAGTAGAGAGTTTAGAAACCTTTTATCAATAAATGATTCATGGAATTACATGCATTATTTATTTATTTAACATGAAATTTTTACTTTAGAACCTTTCCCATCTAAGTTTGGGAAACCCAACCCTGGCTTTCTTATAGTTAATAGAGAAAATCAGGAAAGAACCTCAAGGTTGTTCAGCCAGATGCATAGTATGAAATCTGAATTTCACTTTGCTTGTATCTTTTTCTTCATTGATTAGACAACAGTGATGTGATTCAGCTGTCACATTAACTTAATTTTTGTGTCTACATGTAGAAGTATGAGATTGGAGTTAAGATTCAGTTGCCTAAGTGTAGGTGTCTAATACCCCTTGAGATATGCTAGACGATATCTTCCAAATACTGTCACAGGACATGTTCTGTCAACTGATGAAGCACATATTGGATAGCCTAGGCTATCTCAAACAACAGTAAGTAGCTATATTTAGACAAATGAATCAGCCTGTAAGTCTCAGAACTTCTACTGTTAATGAACAGGATTACATTGGTAATCACAAGAAAGTCAAGATACAAATTTAATGTAACAAAATGGACTTGAACAAGTTGTCTGCTTTTGAGATACCCAGAAATACTCTGCTCAACCTCCAGTTTTCATTTCAGAAGGGCAGAAGTCCCCTGAAGATCCTGTTATATCTACTTGAAATGAATTTACAATTCCAGTAGCACATGGTATCTTAACTGGTAGTAGGCAGCTATTTATGGGCGAGTCAGTTCCTCAACATGTGATTCAATGGCTTGAAACAAGACAGCTCTTAGCTATACCTCCTGGCCACCAGCTGCTACTCAAGAAAGGCACAGGGCTACTGTAAATCTTCTGTTATATCTTTCATACCCATTTGGACAGCTCAGATATCCTGGGAGTTTTTAAGTGGTGCTTCACATCTATGTGTATCTAACTGAATCTTGACCTTATCATAAAAAAGAGGACTTCAACACTCATTAGTTATAAAGGCTTGCAACCAGCTTATGCAATAATATATTATGTATTATATAAGTATATTATATATGCTTATACTGGAATATATTATAGAAAATGGGAATAAGATGGGAAATGTATCTGTTATTTGAAAATATGAAACAATGTAGGAAGTTTTCAAATTGGATTTTGGATTAAGACCACAATTTCTAGACACATGGACTATGGAGGAGAAAAGCTTTACTTATGCTTATTATTTTGTTTATGTTTAAGTTACACCTTGAGTTCTGACCTTTATTAAAGTTTCAACTTCATAAAATAATACTCCTTTGATTATGATCATGTAAATACTGATAGTGATGGTGATCATATCTTGTTATGTTAAGAAGTATTTATGGTTAGTGGTTTTCTGGCAACTCTTCACATAGTCACAAACAAGTTCATTGTAAAAATTAGAATATTACTAGACATAATAACAGATAATTCCTTCTAGAAGGTCAAGGAGAAGTTATACGTGTCACTGAGAAAATTCAGAATTATTGTTATTTGTTCTAAATAATATGTCTTTGAATGTTTTAATAGTCAATAAAACTAGTATTTACAGCAATATCAACACTAATATTAATTTGACTGCAGTGTGAAAGAAATTTAAAACAACTGTAGAATGAGAGAGGGAGAAAGATATTCTAGTACATTGCAATCACTAATAATAAGAAGAAGACACATTTATGTAATTGTCTTTACAGAGGTAGATGGAAGACATAGAGAGCATTCACAGCCCGGTCAAAGAGTTTGTCCTTGGATTTCCTGTTGCTCCTCAACTGCAGAGTCTCTTCTTTGCAATATTTCTCATTACATATGTCTTAGTTTTAGCAGAAAATATTTTCATCATCCTGACTGTCTGGACAAACTATAAGGTCCACTCCCCCATGTATTTCTTTCTGAGTAATTTATCCTTCCCAGAGATCTGGTATGTGACAGTCACACTCCTCAAAACAATGCTGAGCTTCGTGTCAGTGACAAAGCAAATATCCTTCATGGGATGCATGACACAGCTGTACTTCTTCCTCAGCCCGGGCAACACTGAATGCCTCCTCCTGGCTGCCATGGCATATGATCACTATGTTGCCATTTGCAAGCCTTGCCATTACTCTACTATCATGAGACACTGTGTCTTCCTTACTATGGGATCTTGTTTGATTGGTTTCTCAATTGTTGGATGCGAAGTGTTTTTTATCTCTCAGCTAACATACTGTGGACCAAATATAATCAGCCATTTCTTCTGTGATGTTTCTCCTCTCTTGAATTCAGCCTGCACAGATATGGAAAGAGCTGCTCTTACAGATTTTGTAGCTGCCTTATTTATTCTCCTGATGCCTCTCTCCATAGTAATCCTATCCTAAACCTATATAATCTTCACTGTCCTTCACATCTCATCTGTACAAGGTTGCCAAAAAGCTTTCTCCACCTGTGCCTCCTGCCTTATAGTGGTCATTGTCATCTATGTGAGGCCAAAACCACTTCCACTTCATGACACAAACAAAATCATGTCTGCTCTCTATGCTATTGTTATTCCTCCCTTCAATCCTATCATTTACTCTCTGAGGAACCAAGAAATCAAGGATGGACTAAAAAAGATCTTCAGAAAAATGTTTCCTTGCAGAAAAAATTTACAAGTTTAATGGCAGAAGAGATTGTATCACTTAGAAAACCATACAGAAATAACTGGATTTTATTATTAAATCTCTTCATGAAAGCTCTGGTTTGTGCTTCAGAAGCTGAAGCAAGACCATTCAAATATTTTTTTTCTTGGAATCTGGGAACGGCTTGAGGAGGAGCAATGGAAGGAGGTCAACAGACTGTATGATATCAGAGGTGATGATAAACTTGAATTACAGGATCTTCTGCAGAAAGAAAAGCATGAACTCCCAACTGTACAGAAGGCGAGTGAGCCATCCTGATCCCATACCAGGCTGGGTAATGGAAGCTTGGGTAATGGAAGCACTATAAGAGTAAAGACCGGAAGCTTGTAACCTCTGGCAAGAAAAGCAAGGCTCTTCTTCTCCCTGTAGATCTGCAGCTACAGAATGGTTTCAATGTTCTTGAAATAGATAGGTGGCTGAATGCTTTATCCAAACAAGCATCAGTGCCATCTGAACCTGAACCACACAGCAGTGCTGCAAGGATGTGGCAAGTCACAGTGATAGGCTGAGTTCCCTCTGTGAGACATAAAGACCTGACCTGTGAGCCTGAGGGGTATGCAGAAAGATTTACCTGCTTGCTAGTGGTTCACTTCAGAGGATGATTTGGGGAGATTGCTGTGGTGAGTTAACCTTGGCTGGTGGCCACGTGTCCACCAAACAACTCTCTCATTGTCCCTCCTTATAAAGACAGAAGCAGAAAATAAGATAAAAATCTTATGGGTTCAGATAAAGAACAGAGAGATCATTTGCCAGTTACCCTCATGGGCAAAAAAGACTCAATTGAGGGAAAATTAATTTATTACCGAGTACAAATAGAACAGAATGGTGAAGGGGAAAAAATAAAGAAAAAAAAAAAAGACAAAACTAAAACCGCCTTCCCTCTACACCCTCTACCCAAGCTCAACTACACTTCTTAATTTCTTACTCTTCTACCTCCTACCTTCCACATACTGCAGTGGGATGGAGAATGGAGTTGCAGTCAGTTCATAATATTGAGCCACTCCTTCCTCATACTTTTCGTCTGCTCTAGTATGAGGTCTCTCCCAGGGATACATTTTTTCATGAACTTTATGAGTCTTCTGCACACTCTAAAGTCTATCAGGCACAGACTGCTCCAACATGGCTCCCCCGCTGGCTTCCAGTTCCTGCCAGGACCTGTCTCCAGCACAGGCTCTCCATGGGCTGCAGCTTCCTTCAAGCTATCTGCACCAGGCTGCAGTGTAGTTATCTCCTTCAACATGATCCTCCATGAGTCACAGACAGACAACATGCTTCACTGTGGTCTTCTCCATGCTGATGGGGAATCTCCATCTTAGTGCATGGAGCACCTCCTCCTCCTTGTTCTATACTCATTTTGGTGTCTGCAGGGCTGTTTCTCTCACATTTTTCTCACTCCTTCAAATCTGCCACTGTTTTTAGCCTTTCTTAAATATGTTATCACAGAGGTGCCACCAGCTTCTCTGACTGGCTGTTTCAGGCAGCAGTGAGTCTGTTTTGGAGCTGGCTGAAACTGTCTCTGATATGGGGACAGTCTCTGGTTTCTTCTCAAAAAGACCACCCTTCAGGCCCCGTCATTACTAAAACCTTGCCATGTAAACTAAATACAACTGCCAAGCTTGCCGAGGCATTCCAGTCTCAACAACTCTATGATGCTATGATTCTGCATACTCAGATATGCTCCTCTCTTTAAGTGAAATAAAAATTTATTTTAAAATTATTTTAATTAAAAATTCATCTTTATTTTTACTATTTGACAACATTTAACTCTTAAATATTGTAGGTGGGAATTCTGTTCTCCTTGCTAGGTGGCCTATAATGCCTAGACTTCGTACTGTTCATCACTCATCCTTTTTAGAATGGTCAGACTCTGCCTGCATTGCATTACATGAGTTACAGACTCATCATCAATCAATTCCACAAGCTTGTAACTACTCAATGATGTATGTCTCAAGAAGACAGCTACATGCCATGCACATCACTTGTCTCCTCCACAATTCTAATTTGACCATTTTAGTTTTCACTGTGTACATATTAATGTTCATTTCCTATTCTGCTTTTAAATGTCAAGGGGAACCTTCAAGGTGTACGCCTTCCACAGAGAGTGAAGCTGCTCTGCTTTATCAATACAGGTGGTCACAGAGGTTCATGCATTTAAAATCCTCATGTTCTCCCTGTCCTAGGACTAAGGAAGATCATAGAACATAAAATGTATAAAGTCTTATGGTTCTGTTTTTAACCTCACATGGCCCATCTGAACCTGAGACAGTCTGTTAGAAAGCTCAGTTCCTCTGAGCTCCCTCACCAGCACTAGAGAAATCACCCTAAATCTCTGACTGTGAAATCAAGTCAAACACATGATATAAACAGAATAACAGGTTTACTGTCCTGCACCAAGCTCTTATGATTAAGTACAGGGCTGCTCAGCGCAGACCCCAAAACAGCCCTAATGATATTGTTTGCTACCCCTCATAAGAACTTTTTCTCCCTTCCTCCAAAAAACCCGAGTAATCCTTATTTTATTTTTTTCATGTTTGCTTTGGTTTTGCTGATTTTCGCAATCTTAACGGTGACTACATCCTTAGTATGTGACACCTCATAAGCCAGCAGCCCTCTCTCAGTGTATTTTAGTATCTTTCACCTTACAGAGGTTTCCCATACTCTCCTTTCACTGCCTTAGAGTCATGTATCTTTCCCCATTTTGTTGTCTGGACTTAACTAAGCACTCAAAAAGAAACAACAGGCTTTTAAAACTTAAGTGACAGACCTTGTTGCAAAATATATTTCATGTATGAGCTTTTTTTAATAGAAAAAGTATTTAAAATCTGCATTAAATAGAAGTGCAACGTGTTTATAAACAGCTCCATTCACTTTATGAGACAAAATCTTTGCAGGACTTACTCTTTCCTGGTGTTGATTTGACCAATCTGGCCAACAGGTTTCAGTTTCTGCCTTTCTTCATAGGAAGTCTTTCTGCCCCCCAGTATCAGAAGCTAGACTGTATTTTTACTACTGGCTGTTCTCTGCATTTTCAAAATCTTTGTGATGCTGCAAGTTCTCAGTTTGTTTTCTGTTTTATGTGTCCATCTTTTTCTTTCTGCTCTATGGGTCATTTAGCTGTATGGAAAATTCTCTTTACTGATTTCACTTGAGTTCCATGTCAGGACAAATTGTCCTCAACACATTGGCTGTCAGACAGCTTTTCCTAAACTGGACAGTCCTTACTTAAATAAACACAACCTAATTAACAAAAATTAAGCAAAGAAAAGAAACATAATTTATTATCTCAAAACCAAATAATAACCACATCAGCAATGGTGCTAAAATGAAGTTATTTCATCTTTTACCTCAACTTTTGCTGTTTGCTTTGAATACCCACACTTTGTTTACAGTCACTAAGGCAACTCAGACAAGATAACTTCCTCTGAGAGGTGAAATGAAATTTTATCCATAGCTGCTCAGCTGCCCATTTCCTTCAGCCTATCTCCCACAGAGGAGACCTGTGGGATATGGCTATCTGAGAACTGGGGTGTAATTTTTCTAATCACAGTGTGATATAAACACATCAGCAGAGGTATCTAGTTGAGATGCCCAACCTCAACTCCTTGAATTGAGCGGAATCAAGGTTAAAATTTTTAAATTATTAAAAAACATTTAAAGACATTTTCTAAAAGCAATGTTAAACAAATGCAATTAAAAAAACATCAAAACACAGTTTTGAAAAGTTATGTTCAGGACTCCTACCTGAAATGAGCTGTTTGTAATACATGTGATTGAGCTACCTTATGATTATTTTTTTGTTTCTCAACTTTGATTGAGTTGCTTTTATCTCGTTGTGAGATTAAAAAAAAACAAAACAGTTGCAGATATTTCTGATGCCTGAGAACAATGAAGGTGTCAGATTAATCTGCTAGCATGTGTTACAAATGGAGTCACTCATGCACTTGAACTCCCCTATAGATAGTTTCCCTGCAAAAAGCAGAACAAGGTGAGCTTCTAGACCCACCTGCTCACTGAGGTTCTGCTCATGCTGCTGAATGAGTGCCATCTGCTGATCTGTGTTCAGTTGTCCTGATGGAGTCAGTGGTGTAGAAGTGTCCATCAGCCAGTTGGTGCCATCGAGTTGGAGGTGTCAATTGCCCCTTTCTGTGTTCCATCTGCTCGTCACACCACTTTTATGGCAACCCAGAATACAGTTTGCCTTATGTACAATAAGAGTGACTGCTGCTTGTTACTCAGTTTGGTATCCATCATAACTCAGAGGTCTTTTTATCAATGGATTGTCAGCCCAACTGAAGTATGTGGGTTTTTTGACCTAGGTACAGAACACTATATTTTCCTTTCTAAAAATTCTGTATTTCCATTTGAGGTTCCCTTTGCCCCAATCCTGCACATATATTACATGCTTTACAGCATAATTTTTGTTTCCAACTGCCACTGATTTGAATTCATACAGAATACCACTAGACAGCAAATGTACTTACCTGACCGAGGGCTTTCACTGTACCTTAGATGACAGAGCAGGATTAGTCTCCTTTAAATGACCTACAGAGTAGATGCAGATACATGTAGCATGCACGTTTATGTGTGTGCTGAGGTTTTGGTTGCAATTGTATTAGCACAATCAACTCAGTACAATGAAGAGTGTCCAAACAGCTATCCAGCTGAGCAAATAAATTAACTGCCTATTGAAAATGCTTTCTGGACTCCTTTGTCTCTATTGTTTGGGACTCCTTTAAGTGAAAGCCAGTAAGAATTGGGAACATCCCAAATGGCACTAGACTACTATGTTTAGGTAGCTGAGCTCAGTCTTAAATAAGTGTTTAAACTGGGAGAAAATCCTATACATGACATAAACCTAAATGTAAATGTATGTTAAAAAAGCTCCATTTTGAAGCTGAGGTTTTAGTTCACAATTATTGTACATGACTGTGAGTACTTAAATCAGCCATGCAGCCTATGTCAGTTATTAATTGAAATAA